GGGGTCATCTAAAATATATACATATATATATATATATATATATATTGATTAACATTATTAAATAATTTATTATGATATTTATATAATTTTATTACAAATTTAATAATCTATCTATCTATATATATATTAAAACCGGTCCTGCCATGTCAGCATAGCTCTCCTTGCGGAAAACCCTCCTTCCTAATTTTCTGTTTTTTGAATTTTCTTCTCTTTTTATTCCACGTAATTGTGATTAAACCCAATGAAAGGCGTCTTCCGCTCTCCTTATTAATTCGTTTAACAAGTTGGAATGCCAGACGTTTGGACGTGCCAATCTTCTTCCAATTTCAATTATTTATTTTGATTTTTTTTTTTTATTTAGATTTCCTGATTTCATTTGGGTTTTGCAAATAGATTAGGTTTTGTTAGCCATTCTCCAGGATAGAGGCTCTAGCTCAAAGCTTTGATTTCACTATCAAAGCTCCAGTCATTCTTCAAGACAGGTAAGGCACAAAACTTTTCCTCTATTATGTATATGAGGAACCACACATCTTGGAGTAACTCCATCACATGGAGGTACAAGAAACATACACAAAGACTTTGTTCAGGTTCGAAGTCTTTCTTTTGGATACCAAAACAGGGGCTCCGCCCCACTGTCCCTTTCAACCTATCCTTGAATGACAAAGATCTTTTAATGTTTTACATAAACAGGTTATTCAAGTGGTAGTAACAACTCAGTTCATGTACCATAACACAAACCTTCGTTTCAGGTAAACTCTCTGTTCGAAAATCACATTTTAGATGGCAAAACAGGGCTCCGCCCCATTCTCCCTCTACCTATCCGCGAAATATCATTTTATTTTAACGTTTGAGAAACCATCTCAAACAGTTCACCTATTTCTTCTAATATCATTTTTAGGTTTTTACCTCTATTTTATGCATTGCATTCTTCATCTCAACAGTTCATTGCTTTTGTTTGAGAAACCAAGTCTCTTCCGTTGCAGCCAGACCCAGTTTTGTTCTATGCATTATCTCTTTTCTTTAGTTAGTAGTAGTTCAAATCTTTATTCTCTATTTTTCTAAGTGGAAGTTGAATGTAACATACAGTATATATCTGCTGCGATTGTAGATTTTAAAAGAACAACACCATCTAGGCCTTTAAGAGGATTGGGAGCTTTGTCTTTGGTCACCAGAACAACTATCGACAGAACAGCCAAAGCATGGGAAGATAAATAGACCCCCACAACGACGTACCTGAGTTGGAGAGACGAAGATGAAAATTTCCCTGCAAATGTAAACTGACACAACCTGTCCACGATGGATGAATAGATCGTAATGAGGACTTGAGGATAGCCTACTGCCTACCCAATTGGAGATGAATAGATTGTTGTCGGTGTTGGTAGTTCCATTAGAACCATAGAGAGATGAGTTTCTAGATATCCACCTGTTACTGTCAGGATTTTTGCTTAGACAAAGTAGGAGTTTCTACTTTCCTTTTTAACGTCCCTTTTCTCACTTCTCAATTTTCTTCGGTCCTTTACAAGTCAACCAATGACTGGAACAACTAGATTTCGTTCAGAATGGCCACTGGCCATTTTCCGATTAATTGGGCATGGGTAATTGGAAGTAATTGATTGCGCGTATGGACCGTTTATACATTCGGGTATGGATGACAAAGTAAACATGTATTGTTCATCCGTTGTCAATCCATGTAAATGGGTTAATAACTTTCTATTGTATAGACCGGTCCGTACTTCCATCCAAACCGTTTTTCAAATCCATGCTCCATGTTTGAGTCAATTAAACAAAAATTTAAGGTTCTTAGATAAAAAATTATGGTTTCATTTTATAATTCATTATTACATATAAAATTAATTTCCATTAGAACCAATGCAATTTATTTAATAAAAATGTTTTTATTAATAAAAATTAGTACTTCAAAAATTCTAACTTACTTGCAAGAACTAATAAAATTAATAACATTTAATAAAAATTAATCAAGCAATAATTAATAAAAACAAATTTATTAATATATTATTAAATAAAGTTCAATGACATTTATTAAACAAAACTAGTATTTAATAGAAAATAATAAAATGTTAATTTATTATTATTCCAAAATAAAGTTAATATAAAATAAAACTAAAACTAAAACTATTATTAAAAAGTAATTAATAATTGAATTCCAAACAATTCCATTAATTTTATTAAAATAAAATTTGTTAAAGTTCCACATATATATGCTTGTCCATGTAGCATGTCTCTCCTTTGAGAGAAGCTATTTATCTATTTTCTCCATTTTTTGTATTTTTTTCTTAATTTCTTTTGTTTTAAAAATATAAAACAGTAATATAGATTAATAAAGCTATACACTATTAGAGAGAGACCTTTGGGTTTTCCAAGGCCTCTTATTTTAATGCATGTTATTATTACATTTAAAAGAGAGAGAGAGAGAGAGAGAGAGAGTAATAATAGTATAAATCAAGGTTTTTAAAACCGAACAAAACAACAAACYGATTAGAGATCCGATTCCTGGGTCGAATGGCCCAATCGTTCAAACTGAATGGATGGCCCATTCTGACAAAAATAAAAAATAAAAAATGGCCAAGATCGTTGGATGGTTCAAATGGTTTGACCACCAAGGTCAGCGGTTTGTTGACCAAATCAATGGTTTTTGGTGAAATAACAGTTATGGGGTAAAATGGAACCGATCACCTGACCAGTTCTCGATTTTCCCAGTCTGGTTTGGTTTTGAAAACCATGATATAAATCAAATAATATAAACAGGTTGTGATTAAACAATCAAAAAATTATTAATTTAAAAATCCACTAAACTTTCACTAAAAATAAATATTAACAAAACTTAGTAAATATTAAAAATGTGTTTCAATTCCACTTAAAAATCCAACTTAATAAACACTAATAAAAATAAGAAATTTAAATATAAAAATATTAATTGATAGTTATAATAATACTATTAGATAACTTATGAGTTGAGACCTTAATAAACACTAATAAAAAATATTAATTGATAGTTTTAAAATACCAAAAATTAATTAAAAATCAGAAAAATTCTAAAACACCTAAACATAATTAAAATACTAAAAATAATTTAAAAAATTTGAAAATTAACAATTAATTAAAATAAGATTATTTACATAAAATAATTAAAATACTAAAATACAATTAATAGTAATTTATTATTAAAAAATAAAATAAAAATTATTAGAAAATACCCAAGCCATAAATTATTGAAAATAATGAAAATTAGTTTTATTTTTAATAACTATTATATTTATTTAGTTATTTAATTATTTTTACTGAAAGTAAATGCAAATTAATTTTGTAGACTAATATGCAAAAATAAATGATGAAAATGCTGGAAATTATTGAAAAATACCCATATGCAAAAAATACTGAATAATAATATAAAAACACCAAAAATTAATTAAAAATTCTGAAAAACCTAAAACTTAATTAAAATACTAAAAATAATTAAAAAAATAAATTAATTGTATTTTATTGCAAAAATACTAATTACTAATTAAAAAATAATATATTTTCATTATTAGTGGTATAATTAACAACAATTATTTTTAAACTGTAATTAGCAGTAATTATAATTTAAGCTATAAATAGTAGAAAATTATATTTAATTAGTTTTAGCCAAGAAATTAGCAATATTTCTGAAAATATGATAATTTCCATAAATTACTATATTTTAAATAGATACAATAATTTAATAATTATAAAATTTTAGTAGCTAACAATATTTTAATAATTAATAATAAAAAGTAACAAATCGTTTATAACTTAACCTAACCCGATTAGGTCTATAAATTTGCAAGCTCAAGCAAATATTTTCTTTTGAATTAGGTCTAGCTGAGATATGCACCATGCTCACACATTATCAGGGATAATTAGATCCAAAGTCTAATTGGGTATCAAACTTTTGGAGTCTAATGATAGCTTTAGCGGATAGGGCCCAACATTGAAGAGTGGTTGCCTTGCCTTGAACCTGCTTGACATTGGGGACAGGGTAGGAATGGGGTAGAGTGTCTTGATGATGGGGCAGGGACAGGGATGCCGATGCCTTGCCCTGAATCCACCTGTTATCATTCCTATATAATTGTTAATTATTAGTGAATTTAATAAAAATGTTAGTTTTTTAATTATTTTTATTTATTTAAAGTTAATCAAAATTTCATTTAAAAATAATAACAATTATTAAAATTACTATAAATTATTAATAAAACTAAGTTTATTAAAAAATATTTATTCATATTAAATTAACAATAATTATTTTCCTTAAATCAACATTAAATAAAAATACAGTTATTAAAATTTTAGATATTAACAATAACTGAATAATTTTGGTTAATTAACAAAAAATTTTGATTATTAATTTAATATTAATTAATATTAAATAAAATTATTAAATCTTTCAGACTTTCCCGTGCATCGCACGGGTCTCCGCTAATATTAAATATATATACATATATGTATGTATGTATATTTGCACGTATGTATGTATGACATTAACTTCCCCGTACTTAGTACAGGGTCATTCACTAGTTCTAGAATTATAGAAGAGAGCATCCTATTTGTTATTTTCTACGCAATTTCATTTGTAATGGTGTAAAACTATGTGAATGCAAATGACTTGATGAATACAAATTTGGGTTTACTGTTATTTTACGTTTTACCTTGTTTTGTTTGTTTATATTGCAGATAAAGTAAAACAAAACCCAAAGTAAAGGAAAACCTAAATAAAAAATAAACTAGATTTTGCACTTCTCTTCTCATTTGCATTCCTATACTTTATACTAGAAATTGTATTACAAACAGGACTTTAGGTTGATTTTAAGTCTCAAGCCTAAAATCACAACAGTAAATATTAGAACAAATCAAAATTATTGCATAAAATTATAGCCATAAACGTCAGAAGTAGCAATTAATATGATACAATAAGACAGAAAGAAATGAAAAGAAACTTGAAATCAATCTTCAGCCTTATCAAATTATGTCCTCCGACCCATTCGACCAAATTTGGATGATGCAGATGCGAGGATGAAACTCATGAATCTATCAACTGATGGAGCATACAATGGCAAAGTAATTGGAATGAAAGCGATGATAAAACTAATGAAGATGGCCATCCAATGAATTGTGGATAATATTGCATAGAAATGAGTTGCAAAAGCTAATCCCAAAAAAACAAGAGAGTACCAAATAAGGATGCCGGCAGTAAGAACGGTACCAACAGACTTTCTCATATCTGTAATGATCACCCAAACCAATAGAAATGCGGCACTGATGGAACTGCATATAGCAAAAGCATCGAATATAACAAATAATTTGAAAGTGTTCCTTCTTATCAAGGTTTCTGTTCCTTTTTCTGGACCATCATTTTCATAGCCACCTGGCAAAGTTAGAGCAGCAGCAAATGCGTTGGAAGTAATTAGTGTTGCTACAACTACAAGGGTTTTAACTTGTTGCTTGGAACTTTCTCTTGAAATTGTCGATTCCCTTATTTTGGCATAATCTGTGGTGATCACTTGCTGTTGATTCCTTAATTTGCTAAACAATTTGATTATGTAAGAGATCATAAGCTGCATAAATTTTTACATTTTAATCAATCCAATTATCATTAAGAATGATAGTACAGACTAGCTTCTATCTTAAATGTGTGTGTGTGAATATATCTTTGTTTCTGCACAAATCCTTGCCAAACGAAAAAGGTTTTACCTTTTGGAATATTGTCTTTCCCTTTTCCATGTCTAACTCAGCAATGTTGAGGGCTGTGAGGTTTTTATTGTTTATCAATGTTAAGTCCACTGCAGGAGCCATTGAAAGAGCCCATGTGATCCGAACATGGCAGTTGATGGCAGCCAAATGCAAAGGCGTATTCCCATCTTTATCTACTTGGTTTATAAGACCCCAAGGATGGTGTTTAGAAAGATGTTGAACAACTCTTAACTGCTTTTCCACAACGGCAACATGAAGAACATTTTGGCCTCTGTTGTCAACCAAATCAATACAATCTGGGCAACGTTGAAGGAGCTTTTTAATGATCTTCTTTTTCCCTTTAATGGCTGCTTTATGAAGAGGTGAATGGCCTTCATTATCTAATTGATATGCAATAGAAGCCTCTTTTTGTAAAAATAGTTCCACCGATTTGAGATCACCAAGTAAGGCTGCAAAATGAAGAGGAGTCTTCTTGGTGTTGTCTTGTTTATTGACAAGTTCTGGCTTTTGCTTCACTAGTTCTGCTATAATGCCTAAAAGTTGAAACATAGAAGATTAGGCTATATTTATATAAAAGCTTCTTCAAGGTAGTTAAAGATTTATCAATTGGCCCTATGATGTCTTCTTCTAACTAAGAAGAATACTACTAGATGGGGGCACATACTTAGCTTTTATTTGAATATAGAATAACCCATGCTAGTACTTCTTTAGGATGAAGCCCTCCCCTGCCCACCTGTTTGTCTTCCTCTAGTTTTTGCTCTCCTTGGGGTCGTAACCATTTTTAACCGCTCTCCTCTAGTCACAACTTCTTTTGTTGTCATTCAATTTCATCTTCTCAAGACACTTGAGGGAGGGTTGATCATAAACCTATAATAGAAGAATTTGCATCTGTGATGTGTGATGTGTTCAGACAACAAGAAAATCGGACACCATTATTATTTTTAGCATAAACAATTATGCCCATGTCCTTAAACATCTTTCACTCAGTTTATTGGTTACCTGATCATTTCGAATGACATTACAAACATCCTTACGGAAGGTCAATTAAGTAAATTGGTTGCAAATTATAGGTGGTCTTTTAGTAAAATACAAGTTGTAGGGTAGGTTTTAAAAAATCCATGAAATTACAGAGGGTATTTTAGTAAATCACCCCTTTTTTTAATCTTAGTTTTATAAGGGAGTGAAAATGAAGTATAAAATATAGGGCCACTTACTAAAGCATCCCTTGTAGTTTAATTGATTTATTAAAAGGTACCCTGTATTTTGTGTTTTACTAAAACACCACTATAGTTTCTAACTGATTTATTTAATCCACCTTCAATTAGATGGATGTGGAAAATGACAGTTTTGACCTTATTATCTGTCTGTTTGACCAAATTAATCTACACAAATATAAATAGAATTATCATACTTGCTGTTTTCGATCAATTTTATTCTCTATTTGAGGAAGTCTCACGTTGTTGCAAAGTATAGGAACCCGGGGATGCCATTGATCTCTCGTCTTCTTCATTCAATTGAAATCAAATATTGTTTTGTAAATCTAACAACCAAACATTGTTTCATTTTGAAAGCACGATATGATGTGTAAAGGGTACTTTTGGAATAAAATCCCATAATCCTATGCCCTTAAACATTTTTCCATTCAGTTGAGGTGGTCAAGTTATCATTTTCAGACAGCAAACCATTTGGGGTGTTTTAATAAAACATAAATTATAGATAGATTTCAGTCAAACTGTAAAACTATAGTGTATATTTTAATAAATAACCCTAAAATATATTATAAGGGAGTGAAGTGAAAATGTAAGTCATATATTTTATAACCAATGCAACTTATAGGAGATTTAAATCCTACAACCAATGTATGAGATCAGATTGATCATGAGATAAGCTTGGCAGATTAAAGAAAGAAAAAAAAACTGCGTAAAAGAGTATTTATAACCAATTATAATACTTTATTCCAAAAATCTACTGAATGCAATAAATTTCATGCCGAGGAGACCAGGAACCCCTATATTAATTTGCCCAACAGCCGAGCTTTTTTCACTGTGAATTTCATGAATTGGGATTTCGTACCAACAACACACATTCCAACCCCCTAACACCACATATCTCATATCATCATAAAAGTGAGACCCGCCATAAATGAGATGTGTGATGTGTTGGTAGGGGACCTGGATTGACCAAGGGAGCAAATTATATTGACTTCAAAGTAAGGTTTTTAAAATTGAACGGAACAATGAATTTGTCAGGATCTGATTCTTGGGTCGAGTGGTTCGACCGTTTGAATTGAATAGAAGGCTCATTTTAATAAAAGAATAAAAGAAAAGGTCAAACCGTTGGACAGTTCGAATGGTTCAACTGCCAGGGTCAGCGGTTTGCTGACCAAATCAATATTTTTTGGCAAAATAATGGTTCCAGCATAAAATGAACTGGTTTCCAGTTTTTTCAATCTGACCGTCCGGTCCGGTCTGTTTTGAAAACCATGCAAAAAAAAAAAAAAAATTAGAAGGCAATAAAAGAAGATACCTGAATGTCCGGCAATCACAGCGGCGTGTAAAGCCGTTAGACCATTGGGGCCTCGAAAATCTAGAGAATGAGTAGTTGATGATAAGGCATGACGGACGATTCTCTCCGACTCCGACCCTTTATGCGTCGACAACAGATAGAGGAGAGACTCCCCTTGCTCGTTTGAAGACCAGACACGAGGATCCACACTACTTCTCAACAAATACTCGATAAAGGACATGCGCCTTTCTCTCCTTCCATTCTCGAGGTCTCGAGGAGATGTCCGTCGACCAGCATCGGCCAAGCGATCACCCAAGTATCCACTCCTTATGGCCACATGTAGTGGGGTGTCGCCCTTGGAGTTTCTTCTGCTTGCCAGCGACGGACACCGATTGTATAGTTCTCGAACAAAGTCTATATGTCTATGTCTCATAGCAATGTGAAGTGCTGTGTTCTTCAAGGGAGTTACTTGCTTCTCCCAGTTGAAGGAGCTACTGAATTGTTGGAGGACATTATATTTACCCTCTGCTGCTGCTTTTAGCAGTTCAGGATGCATGGCCTCTGCTTCCAACATGGGATTTATCACCTCTGTTTCCGCCCCTACCATTCTTGCCTCTTCTATCATAGGATCCATAACCCCTCTCTCTCCCTCCACCTATCTATTTATCTATATCTATATATAAATTTTTTGTGTTTTAAAATACAAGTCAACCATTTCTTTATATGCCATTTTGTTGATGCTCGTTACAAGTTTGGCTTTATGGGTTCCCATATAGCTTTCACTGCCCCACCGCTATATGCCTATATGCATCTGTCCTTAATTGACCATGACACATATTACTTGCTCCAATGAGATTGAAAAAAAGAAAACGAAAAGAAATAGTTGGTCAAGCTGTGTGTGAGGACATTCTGGGTATTATTAGCTTGGTGAAAAGTTGTAAGGGCATCTTAAGATTTTTGGTAAAAGATCAGGAGTCTTTTAGCTATATCATTTACGCACAGGCCACAACCACAGGAGGTGCCTCACACCAACCTCAAACATACATCCTATCATGCATGGGAACATCTCTCGTACTTACAAATTATTATTCATGGGAGATGTTCCAATACATGGTAGATGTGTCTGTGAGGCGTCCCTGTGTGAGGAGCAGATCCCATTCCCCCGGTATAATCCCAACCCAACCCAGTGGCTCCTGCAGAAGAGTTGGGGTTATCACTTTGTATATGCATTGGGATCTGCTGTCCACAAGACAGTGCAGCCCTGCATTATGAATATCTCCTCTAAATGTATATTGTCATTTATGGGAAGATTCCCAATGTGAGGCTATAATGTCTCGTACATGATGTGGACAGCATTTTTGTGGGTTTTAGATCCGAAGTCTTTGTTGACTTCTTTGATATTATACTGGAATATCTGTCTTACAATTGCTGATGCAAGCACAAAAATATTTACTATAAATACACACATATAGATAATTGAATTTAAGCTGGAGTTGAAGTCAGTTCAGATTTTTCAACGGAACCCATACGATGGGTTCGACTATGATATGAAAAAGATATGATATCCAAATAAATTGGAATCATAATCTAGTAGTGAATAAGACTAATCAGACTGCACATTATTGGCTCTTGAGTCGCTTTCGTCTTTCTTTTTCAGCTTTTTTGTTTTTTAATATTTCTTCCTTCTCTCCTCTTCTCTCTTTCATTTGTTTTGCAGATTTCTAAGGACGTATTACCCCGTCTTGTGTAGCCCTTTCTATTGTTATTAAAAAAAAGAAGAAGAAGAATATATAAAATGTTATTTATTAAAATTCATGAGTAAATTTTAATTGATTAAAATTCTTTTTATACCATATTTTTCCCGTATCATAGATTTTTCCTTTTATGATAATTGATAAATACATAATTTTTAGATTTTATATGATAACTAGTTGGGCCCGTGCCACACGCGGGCATTGTCAAAGAAAATTGAAATAAAAGTAATCATAGGATGACATTCCAAATGGGATACCTGTATATGAGAGTGGATGATGTTGTAGGTCTCTTATCAAATTTTCAAAAAACAAATAATAGTTTTAATCAAATCAAACTCTCCATGCCCAAATTCAAACATGATTTTGTATAGTTGGCAGATCGGTGAGGAATCTACTGAGATTCAATGTGAGATTGGAACTATTGCGGTAGAAGACTTGTCAGCAGCACGACTATCTTAACCATGAGTTCGATTAGGCGGACTCGGTAAAAGTCTTGAGTTGTCAAATGGTTGAAATCATGACCATCTTAGAAGGCTTAAAGTTGCGGGCATCTAGATACCTGTCAAAAGTATTAATTGGTGGAAAGTGATTGCAAAGCTCTCATCGAGTCTTTGGTGAACAATGACTTTATACCTCCTAAAGAAACATTTTTCCTTATTAAACATGTCCAATTAGAATTAGTTTGTATGGAAATGTCGATCTGTTGACTCGGTTTATGGCCAAAGATCATTATGACCTATTGATCCGAGTGGTTTAACCATCGACTCATTGACCCATAAAATGGTTTTTAGTTATTTTCTTATTTTTTTATTTGGAAACCATCCAAGCAATTAGTTCTATTTTATCCTAATCTCAGTCCTTGGCAAAAAATCGTTGAATCGGTCAATGATCTATTAACCGGGCAGTCAAACCATTGACTCGTTTAATGGTTTCTGGTCATTTTATTTATTTTTTTAACTTTTGTTGTTAGAACGGGCCAACCATTCGAACCGTCAACCCAAAAACCGGTGGCCAAAATGATTTCGTTTTCAGGTCGTATGAATCACATGCTCGAATGATATAACACGTATGGTACTACTTAATGGACCTCACACACTCAATTTTTTGCTTGTAATTTTTGTTGTCAGAACGGGTCATCCTATTTTTTTAATTTTTTAATTAGGAACCGTCTAGGCAACCAATTCCGTTTTACCCCAATCTTGGTCGAACCGTCAACCCGTTGACCCGTCCAAGCAACCAGTTCCATTTTTTTAATTTTTTTAATTTTTGTTGTTAGAACAGGCCATCCGTTCGAACCGGGAGGTCAAACCGAGAACCAATGGCCAGAACAGTTCCATTTTCAGGTCGTATGAGTCACACACTCGAATGGTCAACTTGTTCTGACAAAAAAATTAAGAAAATTAACAAAATTAAAAAAATAAAAAATAGTCAAAATCGTTAATTGACCCAAAGATCGAACCAAATAGGGGTTCGGTTATGGGGTCAGAATGGGCCATCCGTTCGGGTCATATGAGTCACACACTTGAATGACATAACATCATGGCTTTTAAAACCGACTTGGAGACCAAACCAGTCAAGGGTCCGGTTGCCGAGTCAAACGGTCAGCCCGTTCTGACAAAAAATAAAAAAAATAAAAAATGATCAAAACCGTTCAAACAGTTCGATATCTAACAATATTTATAATAACTATTATATATTTATATAATTAGATATATATATATATATATATATATATATATATATATAGTTCATCTTCTGTTAAGCCTTACCCTTCTGTTCTAAGGGAAATGGAGGCTTTACCCTTCTGTTCAACTCAACAATGCATGCGTGAGACAAAAGTTTTAAATTTCTTGCCTACCATTACAGAACCTATAGTTCAGCCTTATGTTTAATGGAGGCATTACCCTTCTGGTCAACTCAACAATGCATTCGTGAGACATGGTTTTATACCTCGAAAGTGATTTTATGCTTCTCATTGCCCTACTTTTTTACCACAAGAGAGTCTTTATAGTTTTATTTTTAAATTTGTATGAATTTTTTATTAAATTTTTATATACTTTTAAAAGATTTATTATTTTATTAACCTCTTATTTATATTTAATACATTTTGTAATTTTTATACTTGTTACTTGTTAGTCAATACATGTTAATATTTTATTTTAATCACAGTTAATTTATATAATATTTTATTATTTATCTTATTTATAAAACACAATAGTTTTCATACTTGATCAATTGATCAATAGTATATATCATCCCACATGTTGTATGTATGTAAGACACATAGAATCAAAATACAAGGTTTGAATTGAAGTATACCACACCTTGAACACCTATATAGGCATGATGTGGTTCAGCCCACATAGTTATCTCATCCGCACTACAAACAGCCTCTAAGTAAAGCAATTGCAAACTATATGCAAGGTTCAGAATATTGATACAGGGCAATATGTTGATAGTGTGTATCCACTGTATCGGTACTCTTTTTTTTTTTGTTTTTTTTTTTTTTGAATCTGGTTCAGAGGGGCCGGTTTAAGACTGGTCTATCCCCTGAACCACTCGCTGACCTGAAACACCCCCTGTAAGAATATATCAGAAAGACTCCGATACAATACGTATAAGCTGAGACGATCTGATATGTATCAAAATTTCGATCCTTGACTATATGGGATGTTTTAGTATTATGAGGATTCGTTTTAGTAAATACATGAGATTATGGGAGTGTAGTAAATGATCCAGAAAAAAGAAAAAAACAACTCAGGAGCTTCCATATATAATGCAAAAGATGAGTGCATGGTGATCAAGCGAAATCGGTAGGATGAAATTGTGCAACCTTGAATTTAGTCTTTTTTGCTCATCATAAGCTTCCTCTATGATCAATGTGTCCTAACCTCATAATTCCATATAGAATTATTTTAATACCCACAATGCAGCCTACTCGGCCTCATGAAATGAGACAATACAGTAGCATCCTATTCTCAAATCTGTGCTAATAAGAGAATCCATACGACTATAACTTCGTCCATTTAGGGGTCCACATGGGGACAAAATTGCTGAAACTAGTCCTATTCCAGGTATAGATGCCAATCTGCCATGGAACCCGTGGGCCGGATCTAGAAGAAACCGTTATACAATCACAGCAGAATCAACTTTCTTACTTGAGGGTCTATACTAAACTCAAGTGGTTTCAGAGAGCAACTCTATTCATCTCTAGCGCGCCAGGGTGTTATGGTCTGACACAGGCTTACCCTTGCCTACGTTTGGCAGGCTTACGTTAAGGGACACCACCATCATTTTGGGAGAATTGATGTCATCTTCAGGCAGACCACCGAAAGCTTAACGTACTCTTTGAGGAGGGGTGGTCAACCTCCTTGGGTGCCTAACCTTGGCACTCCTAGACCWTCATCCCCTTGCGGGGCGGCCCTGGTTAATGGCTAGCATGGCTACCAGGGTTCCTCATGGGCGCACACATGCTCATGGAGACAGTGCATGGACCGGCACTGCGCTGCCGACACTCAAGGGAGGCTTGGCATGTGGGCCTGGCTCAAGCATGACCCTTCACCTCGCCAACCCCTTGCCCAAGCTGATTGAGCTATCCCGTTGCCCCTAGCGCACGGGTGTGTTTTGGCCCAGCAGTTGCCTATGATCATGGCACACAGGTGCCCATCATCATCGGCATACAGGAGACCCCTCACATCGGTGCCAAGTCACCTCTTTGGTGCACAGTCGCATTGCATTATGGCCGTCCCCCTTTAGCATGTAAGTGGCGCCTCCCATGGACTGGTCTGAGCCAGCCGAGTGCCCCGGCCATGCGACTTGAGGTCATGATCCAGTGCTACTGACCTTGGTGGAG